GGGGGGGGGGTCACCACAACATGAGGAACTGTATGATGGGTTCGTGGCATTAGGAAGGTTGAGAACCACTGTTCGAGAAGAATGAACAAATCTGTCTAGGAGGAAGAGTCTGTCTATGCCACTGCACCATTGACACACGGATGGTGAGACTTTGCCTCACATACCTCGGGCATGTTATGTGGAGAGACCAGTCCTTGGAGAAGGACATCGGCTTGGTCAAGTAGTGGGTCAGTGAAAAAGAGGACGACTGTCAAAGAGATGGGTGGACACAGTGGCTGCAGCAATGGCCTCAGACATAATGAGTGTGAGGACGGCGCAGGACGTGGATAGGCTTAGCTCTGTTGCACAGAGCGTTGCTATGAGTAAGAACCAAAGCAACCACAATCACAAGGAGTTACCAGGGTTTGCCTCTCTGTAATGGGAACACAACATTACTTTTGAGAGTGGAAGCAGTTTTGTGTGTCATTACTCGTTTGTCATTTTGCATCTTTTGTTTACAAGTTACATTCTTATAAACTCACTTTCCTTGAAGGATTGGTGTTGCCTCTTTTCTATTAATATAAATTGGACATTTCTCTCTTTACCCCCTTCTTTCCCTTTCCCTCTCCCCTTTGTCAGAGAATTAAAAGTAAAATGATGAATTGCATTTCCTTCGGCAGAGAGATGAAAGTCACGGAGCTGTGTAAGGACTCCCAGGGCTGCCAGGTTTTCTTTCTCTCCATTGTCCTGCTAGAGATCTGTCTGTGGCTCGTTTCATTTTCCTGGAACCTATGTCACATCCTTCTGAATGGGGGTCAGACTATAAAATAATAAAGTAAAATAAAGAACAGAAACTCACTCAATAAAATACCCACATGGACAAAACCCAAATGTTTGTTAATTTAATGCAAACCCCTTGAAAAGAGGCACATTTTGTAGCAAGTGCACAGTGTGAGAAGTGCAAGTGCTCCCGTGTTGCAGTGCGTCAGCGGAGCTGCAAAGCAGGTGCTCTGAGGAAGGAAGGACGGACAGCAGGCTTGGGGGTGCTGCGGACCCTTCCTCTGTGTCAGGGGTTCCATGAGTTGGGATGGACTCAAAGCAGTGGGTCTGTAGATTTGGCTTTTGGGTGCCGAGTGGAGAGAGCCATTGTCCTCAGCGTTGGGAAACCATATTAAGTGTCTTCTCCTGAGTCTCTAAGGTCCCCCACTCCTCCACAGTACAGTTAGAAGATTCTCACATACTGAAACTTTTCAACGAGTGAGGTTTCTCTCTGAAGTGTGAAGGAGGCTTTAGCGGATGTGTCTTAAATTAGCTTCTGTTTTCTTGGCCAGGACATCGATCTAAAATTTAGTGGTTCGCTTTTCACTTCTGGCTGCTGATCTCTTGTGATTCAGTGAATTATTTTTACTCTAAAGGTTAAATCTGTTGCCAGTTGGGATGTAAGAAATGTTAAATTAAACAGAACTAGTTGAAATTATGTTTGATTTACTCTTCCTTGTTTGAAAGGAGTGTCTAATAGGAAAAATCTCATCCCTTGGGCTGCATATGAAGACAAATAAGGAACTACAGAGCACCCCTCAGTGTCTCCACTTTTGCCAAGTTAAGAAGGAAGGTGAGAGTGGTGTTTTCGTGGAAACCTTAGCAGAGCACAATAATAAATGTGCTGCTGCCCATTAAGAAATGAACCAACTTAGGATGGCTAGCCCTACGATGCCCACCTTAGGTCCCGTCTCGCTGACTCGCTGACATCGGTCATGTTGGGAACTCTTACTGCCTGTGAGTGAGCAGAAGAACAGGAGGTTGGAACCACTCCCCGTCCCCCCACCCCCCCCCGGGGAATGCATATTTTTGTTTTACTTGGAGTCAATAAAAGCAAAATACAAAAAAATCTATGCACCCAAACTTTTTCTTAAATGAGAAAGTACTGAGGAGAACTTATGGGCAGATTGACTGCAGGTGCCCATCTACTTGGCAAGTGAGGGTCCAGGAGTGAGGCTCTTCTGGTGTCAAAGGGCCCCAGACACCCAGGCCCCCTGTCTTACTCCATTTCTGTCCCTCCTGTCATCCCATTGAAAAACCCCTCCAAACTCACTGACACAAAGCCAATAGCCACTCATAGCGACCCTGTAGTACAGAGTCAAACTGCCATGTGGGTTTTCGAGGCTGTAACTCTTTTCTGGAGCTGACAGCCTCATTCTTCCCCTGAGGAGCAGCTGGTGGGTTTGAACCACAGACCTTGTTGGTAGCGCAATCCCAACCCACAATGCCACCCACGCCACTAGGACTCTTCATCTCAGTGCCACCTGAGGGCAGGCTCTGTCTCTCTTGTGGCCCTTGGCTTCTAAACTCCCACCTGGAGTGTGCTGGCTTGTGGTTGTGTTGTAGGAGTTATGTGTTTTGGATAGCAAACTTATCAGACACATGGCTCCCAGAGAATCTTCCTTCTCCTTTTCTGTAGCTTGCCCCTCCACTTTCTTGATAAGGTTCTTGGATGTGCAAAACTTTTCATTTTGATGAAGTCCAGTTTATATTGTCTTGTTTCTCATGCTTTTGGTATCGTGTTTAAGAATTTTTGGCCAAAAAAGAAGGCCTTGAAGCTTTCCATGTTTGTCTGAGAGACTTTTGGTGTGTGTTCTCCTGTTTAAGCTGCCGATCTCCTTTGGGCTAATTTGGGCTAATTTTCCTACAGGGTGTGAGGGTCAGCTTCCAACATTGTTCTTTGTTCTGTGTTCCAGCATCACTTAGTGAAGAGACGAGTTTGTCCTCAATGAACAGACTGGATGCGGATGCCCTTTCTGTTAATTTCTAAAGCTATGCATATCCTCTGAAAACTGGCCTCTTCCCCCATCAACTGCTTTAAAGCTGTTTGAGTATCTTCAGCCCAAGGAATAAAAAATATATATTATTGTGACTGTTATTTCTGTTTTCCTTCCTTTCTTCTTCCCTCCCTTTCTTTCTCCCTCATTTTGTTTTGTTGCTGCGAAGAAATGCTAGAAACTTCAGAAATGTTGAAACGATGATTTTAGTACTTCCTGTTCAGGCGATGCTGAGAAGCACGCGTTCCTGATGCCTGGCAGCACAGTTACTTGAAACTGTGAGTGTGGTAGAGAAGCCTTCCTGCACTGGGGTCTGAAATCGTACATTGTCAATTAGCTTTGACGAGTGGAGGCGCGTGGCTCTGCCTCGTTGCTGACAAACACTGCCTAGGAATCGCTGGTCCCCAGGAAAAGACTGATGCTTTGACACGTTTCTCATCCAGACCAGCCATTTTTCTGCTGTAATTTTGTAATCGTTTTCACGTTATGATTTTGTGATCAATTTTTAGTTTCATTGCTTTGGGATTAGAGAAGTAAGTTTAAAGCATCTATTGTACTTTGCAGTTATACATATGCTTAATTTTTGGTCAGTGTGTCTTAGAAACTTGTGAAGAAATGATGGTCTTCTTTATAGTTTTAAAAATGAGATGAAAATAGGAAAATTCCATCTTTCTGTCAGTAACCGTTTTTTTTTCTTGCATGTTATTCCAGTTACAGAGACTTGTATTTACTAGGCCTGCACTCTTCCTTTGCATTTTGTCAACTGAAAAATATTCCCTTTGTTCATTTTTCCCCCTCTCTAATTACTTATTATTTTTAGTTCTTCTTATTGTTCTTTTTTCACTGTACATTTAATTTGTAATCTTTCCTGCACAAAGATTAAATGACCATTTGCAAGTGTAGAGGATGGCTCTTTCTTTTCTGTTTCAGAAGGAGAGGCTGCTGGCGGTGCTGGAGTCCCTGGGCAAGACCCTGTGTCACCACCGGGGTAGTGGGCATGCCGGGCAGCCAGAGGCCCTGCTGGTATACCACCGCTCGGCCTTCGTCAGCATTGCCCTCTTGAGCGTGCGGCTCCTGCAGACCCTGCTGCCCGTGGAGAAGGTATCTGTCAGCAGCTCCTGCCAGTCGGGTGTGGAGGGCGCTCACAAGGGGGCTGGTCGGTTTCACCATCCCACTAGATGGACAGTGAGCTGCTTCAGAAGCTGGAACTTGTAGACCATGGAACTTTAAATCAGCCCATCAGGGTGAGGACTGGGAGTTCCACGTGGCCCCTGTTGCCAGTTACGGAACCCAGAAGGGAAGTCGAGTGCCAAGGGAGGGCAATGGTGTCAGAACAGGGGAGTGGAAGGTGCAGGGTGCAGGGCTGTCTGACTGGACCTCACAGAAGCCACCTTGGTCTGGGATGGGCTTGGATTTGCCTTCCCTCTTGTGTAGCCAGGGGTCAGAGGTGGCCCTACTTGGGATTTTGGAGTTGTGCACGTGGAACTGTTAGGAATTGTGAAGACAGTACTTGCCCAACGTTATTTTCTTTTGAGATTCATCAGTGTTGTCGCCTGTAGAGTGCCCGGGACCATTCCTCTTGTGTGTCACAGGTGATTTTCACAGGTGTGTATGGTGATTTGCCACTGGTTAGAAGGCAAAGAGGAGATGGAAGGAGCCCAACACTCCTGCATTGGGTGGCACCATAAGGGCTCTCCAAAGTACTGCAGAGCCGGGAAATGTTCACAGCGCCTACATTACAGGACCCAGCTGCTCACAAGACAGTTCTCATTGCTTGACGTTTGCAGTCAGGCTTTCACAGAAACCCTGGTGCCATGGAGTTGACTCCCTGTGGCAGATTTCCGAGGTAGTAGGTCTTTAAAGAAGCAGCCTCATCTTCCACTGGTGGTACAGCTGGTGGGTTTGAACGGCTGACCTTGGGTTAACAGTCCAACTAACAGTACCACCAAGCAGAACCCACACTCCACAGCCATTGAGTTGGTTCTGACTCCTAGCAGCTCCACGGGACAGAGGGGAACTGCCCCTGTGGGTTTAAGTGGCAATCAGCCATATAGCAGCGAGCAGTGATCCATTAAAGTAGAAATCAATTATTTAGCTCACTCTGCCTGAGCGTGCTGCTAGAATCCTGGCAGATCTTCATGCATGTTTGAAAGAGAGTTTAAAAAAAAAAAATTGTGTCTGCATTTGAACGGAAATCAGCAGTGCTAAACTTTGGTAGCTCTTTAAGCACCTAGTATGGACGTTCCTGAGCACTGCACAGGAGGGTGCTTCTGAGTTGGTCATGAGGGTGTGGTGTCCTGAGTGATCCAGCTTTGAGAGGAGAATGACGGGACATTCAGAGTGAGACCCTGCTGCCCTCTAGAGGCCTGTTGCTCGTGCACCAAGTTTCCCAGGGGACTTTGGACGGCAGCTTCTTACTGCAAAGTGGCTCCTAATGACCTGAGCTGCCCTGTAAGTCTGGATGAATCTGTGAAGTTTCCTTAGTTGGAAAGTTTGGGCCAAACGATCTCCCGCTCTGTTATGGCTGGTGATATTGAGAGTATTTTGAGTGATTTGGAGAGTGCCCATGTGGAGGTGAAGTAATGTTTGGATAGTCTCGTGGATCAACCAGGAGGGCAGATGACGGGCAGGGATTGCATTTGGGGAACACCGGGGCCAGACTGGAAGCGGGATGAGAGCCCTGGCCTGCCCTGCCTGGTGAAGACTCACCCAGCAGTCCTTCTCTTCAGAGTCACGAGAATTCAGGAGGTGACCGAGTCCACTTGAGTGATAGATTTTGCCGGGCGCAGGTGCTGCCCTGGGACCCCGAGCTCCAGCCAGCTGCTTCTAGTAGCAGGGCCTGGAGGAGACGCTGGCAGCCCCGTGGTCCTCCAGGACACAGGAAAGGACTTTTGCCAGACAATCTGAGGAGTTTACACTGAATGCAATCACTCACGTTTTTAGAGGGAGGATATTCGTGTCTTTTTTTTTTTCTTCTCCTACTTATTACTCCATGTAAACTTTCATTTGAAGGAGTCTCAAACAGAGCAAAATTTAAGTTATAATTCTGTTTCTTTAACTGACCCTGCTTGTCAGTCACACACATGCACATACACATGTACATATATATACACATATCCATCCTGTCATTTTTGATGAGTAACTCCCCTGTCCATCAGCTCTATAACTCCCACCTGGAAACTGTAACAAAGCATGTAAATAAGGTACAGGGGACTCTGACCTTGGGGATTGATTCATTTTGTCATCCCGTTGGGTTTAAAAGTGAGCCATCTCAGAAGCAGGAAAAAGAATCCCATGAGAAGCAAGGGCTCGCAGGGGATTGCATGGAGACCCCTGCCTGTGAAGCAGTGGAGGCAGCAGAGGGCGCAGTGCCAAGTCCTGGTGCCGTGCCACAGCCCGTGGGACTGAGTCCACAGGTCTAGGCAGAACCTGAGGTACCACTTCGCCAGACTCTGGGCCAGGGACTAGCCTCACTTTTAGTTCCAGTGTGCTAAGTCGACTGGTTACTGTGGACCCTAGCCTGTGCTTTGGTGGCTGAGGTGACCTGAGTGTCGGCTGTGGGGATGGGAAGTGAGCATGGCAGATCCTCCAGGGTCAGTTTAAATGGTGACGAGTATTTATTTGAGTGCTTTGTTCAGAACCCCAAACCAGACCCATTGCCACTGAGTCGATTCTGACTCCTAATGACCTTATACAGAGTTTCTGAGACTGTACATTCTTACAGGAGCAGATACCATGAACTTAACTTGCGCAGAGTGGCTGATGGGTTTGAACTGCCAGCCTTGCAGTTAGCAGCCCAATGCTTACCCGACAGGCCAACAGGGTTCCCAGTGCCTTGCCCCGTGCTGATGCTCTCGGCAGCTATTATTCCTGAGTTTTGACTCAAGTCAGAAAAAGCTTTTGGGTCTAGAAACTTGTGCTGTAGATAAACCTGAATTAGACCCACTAGGGCTTGGCTCTTACTTTTCATAGCATCTGACTCATTCTCCTCTGGAAATTTCTAGTTATCTCCCTCACATTTGAAAAGAGGAGAAGCCCAGGACTGCCCATGGCCAGTCACTGAGGGGTGGACAGACAGCCGGTCAGCCTGGGAGAGCAGGTCATCTTGGGAACTGGTATCAGGAAGACTTTCTGGGTCTGAGGAATAGGATTTTTCTTTAGTAAAAGACCCAACTGAAAGGAAGTCGACTAGATGACCCTTTAAGTCTTTTGTTGGTTTGTTTTGTGTGTCCCCATGAAGGCAAGCCAGCTTCTCCCAGAACCTATGTCGGCCGCCTTGTTCCTCCTCGCTCTGGACATGCCTTTCTCTCTGGAGTACCCGCACACGCACGAGGCCGCCGTGGCTTACTTGGAACAGCTGGACTCGGAGAACTACCGCATCTACAGAAGGACCGCCGAGGCCGCCTACTCAGTGGAGTGTGCCTGTAACTTCATGGCAGATGTGGAGAAGGAGGTAAGCTTGGCTGAAGCCACCCTCACAGCCTTACAGAAACATGGAGAGTGTGATTTATGCTCTGCAGATAGAGACTCGTAATAAACACTTGTTTGGCATGTGTCACCGACTGGGTCAGCTACCTTCCGTTTCGCACCATGTAAATAACTCGCCCACTCGTCTAACACCCACACAGCGCCCAGGAAGATAATGTATGAGGGGATTGGTAGGAAACATGAAATGCATGCCCCATTTGTTTGAAAATATATCAGATTAAAAAGAGGCTTTCACTGGTTAGTGAAATAATTAAACCAAAATTGTAGGTTAATGAATGGCGTGTGTTGCTGGCATCAGTAGAAGAGCAGCAGTTAGAAATGTCTTTCTCTTTCATTCTGAGCTCCTCTTTGCAGTGTTTCCCCTGTGAGAGCTGAGTGAAGGCCTGAGGGACATTTAGTGTGTTCTTGTGAGCGTATTTTGTGTACAGAGTTTTTGTGGACCATTACCACATACTAGCAAAGAGTCTTGATTTTCTTCCTTTTGAATGCAGTCATGAGCTTGTAGGATCAACGGGTAAGCTTCGGTGTACTGTGACTGTCATGATTTTGCATGATGGTGTGCCTTTAGACGCTCTGGGGATGTTATGGAGCTTGCTGCATCGTGCAGGGCAAGGAGCCTTTAAGACAACAGTGCTGTTTACTCTCTGAAAGTGCCAGCCTGGCTTATGAGGACCAGGCAGAACCAGAGACATGTGGATTGATTGTTTGACCTTGCAGTGGCATCTGTCTTCCATGGTTTAGTCCTTATTGGTTCTGTCTTTTCTCTCTGTGACTTCTTGATGCTACTGGCCTCTTGTCTCCCTCAGGACAGACATGGACCGTCTCTAAGTTGCATAGTTTTGGTTGGGCCCTGTGTGGTCAGGCGGCCATGTCTGGGGACTGCGCAGGGCCACCTGCCCGGGAGCTGGAGATTAACTCAAGTGTCATCGTAAGCTTCTTTAGGGTCACACCCTCCAAAGGCTCAGGTGGGCTTGGGGGGTATTCCGCCCACCACACCCCATCCCAGACAGACACTGAGTGTGCTTTCCAAGAGAGTAGACAGTGGCTGACACGGATATCGTCAGGTCTGTGCTTGGATTTCGCCACACTTGGCGCATAGCGGTGGAGGACGTCCGGCACACGAACTGACGGTGCTGTCCCTGTGCTTCTTTCCAGGGAGAGAAGGACGTCTTGGAGCTCCTGGAGCTGGCGGAGCAGGCCCTGTGCAGCTTCCCTTTCCATCAGCATCTCCCGCTCGTCCGGGAAGTCATCTGTCTCTGCTCAAGGATGTAAAGCATCTCTCCTTGTCTACCGAGCTCGTTAATCTTAAGATACAGTGCGTGCGCGTGTGTGTGTGCATATGGAGTTATGGAAAAGAGTCTGATCTTAGATCCTGTCATCGTTATCTTTTAGCATAAATACCCATTAATTTCTCTGGCTTCTGAACTTTGTATGCTGCTGCACACAATGGCTGTCTGTTTTCATGCCTCCAGTCAAAATCAAATGAGCCCTAGTGGGTTACACATTGGGCTACAATCCACAGGGTCAACGGTTCAAACCCACCAGCTGTGCTCTGCTAGAGAAAATGAGGCTTTCTACTCCCATCGAGTTACAATCTCCGAAACCCTAAGAGGCAGTTCTGCCCTGTCCTATAGGGTTGCTGTGAGTCAGACTTGACTCGATGGCAGTGAAAACAAAACAAAAACAAAATAAATAACTCCTGGATTGCTTTTGATGTCCATGCAAACCAAGGATTTAAGCAAATGTGTTTATCTTACAGTCATAATTAGGAACTTATTTTGGGGATCCCCACCCCCACCCAGTTATATTCCTTTGCGTCTTTCTGGTGTTTGGACAGCTTTTGTCACAGTTTGCTTTGTCCTGAGGACAGTGGGGCTCATTGAACAACAATGATTTTTCTCCTATTTATCTTACCAGTATGCAAAATAAGTAAACAAGAGAATATCTCCATTATTAATGTTTCTTCTCCTCCTCGAGCCTTTACACTGTCAGGGGAAGGCTCCACTTTCCTACTGCCGGAATAGTGTCACCAAAACCCAACTGGCCTGCCTGCCCTCCAGTCAGTGCCGACTCACAGAGACCCTGTAGGACAGGGGAGAACTGCCCCGTGGGTTTCCGCGACTGTAACCCTTTACAGGAGTAAAAAGGCTCATCTTTCTCCTGAACAGTGGCTAGTGGTTTTGAACTGCTGACCTTAATATTTAGCAGCCCACTACTCTACCAGGGCTTCATGGAACTGTATAAAAGGCTGTCAAATTCCAAAGGTTGGAGAAACCTGCAGGGAGCCCCAGAAAAAAAAAAAAAAAGACCAGCAGGGACTGATGAAGCAGTGTGGGCATGTGAAGTGATGCATCCAGCGGAATGGAGAGCTGCTCCCGGGCGCCGGTGAAGCAACAGCCAGCGTAGCTGTAGCCACGGGAGAGTAATGACTGGAGCATGACCTCATTTGCGAGTTTGAGACAAACACTTGCTTTCTCAGCTTGGCTGGAGGAGGAACAAGGCTGCGTGTAGCCTGAAGAAGCCCTGGTGGGTTTCACCACCCTTGGTTGTAGCTGAAGGCTGAGAAGCAGTGGTGTTGGAGCTGTAACGATGACCTGTGCTTGTGCTCTTTCAGGGAGACGGTTGTCTGTCACATGGGCACCCGTCAGGAGGGTGGTTAGTACTGGCTGCTTCAGGAAGTTTCAGCAGGGACCAGCAGGATGCCTCAGTCCTGGTGCTGTGCCGTCTCCCGGTCACCTGCTGCCTTTTCTGTCTCCATTTCCCCAGCGAGAAGTCTGCTCAGGCCAGTCCACTCCTGTGTGGGGAGGGCCAGAAGGTGCTGCTCCGCCTGCTATCTCACCCCCTGCTGCAAGTGAGGGCGGAAACCTACCGCAGCTGCTTGGAGATGACCAAGGTGGGGCCTGTGGTGTGCAGGGGCTGCGGGGGTGCGGGGCGGGGACGGCGGCAGGGAGAGACAACTGAGGGGGTTCTCTTGTTATTTCTAATTGATGATGACCTGTTTTAGTCCACATGATGAATAGAATATTAAATACCTGGCATATCATTATTGAAAAGAACTCCATATACCAAGCAGCCTGCAAAGCTCCATGTGTCCTTCTGTGCTTTTGAAAACGCCGTCTTGCTTGGACACCGGTGTCTTAGTGGTTACATTTTGGGCCTCTAACAGCAAGGTCAGCAGTTCCAACCCACCAGCCACTTCACAGGAGAAAGATGAGGCTTTCTGATCCGATAAAGATTTATAGCCTCAGATAACCAACAGAGGTGATTCTCCTCTGTCCTGTAGGGTCACTAGGAGTCAGAGTGGACGTGGTGACAGTGAGCAGAGAAGTACCTTCCTGGTGATTACCCTGTGGTGTGTTCATGCCTTAGCTTGGTTGTGCAGCCTGAAGTTTGTGAAGCCTGTTCTTAGTTGTGCAACTGGATTGATGATAAGAAAATCCTGCTTACAGATTGTCTCCCAGGCTTCCCCTAGCCCCTACCCCCACTCCCACCCTCTAGCCTGGGCAACAGCTATGTGATTTGGCATGATTTTGTTTCTTTCCAACCTCTAAACCTAAAACTCAAATCTTAGAAGTAAATTGGTCAATGTGTTTCTTGGACCTTCATGTTTGTAATTGTGAACATCTCTGACTGGTGGTCGCAGCCACATGGCCCTTTAGTTGATCACGAGTGTTTGTTTTTCCTAGGAGTGCTTGGGCGTCCATAACGTCACGCAGCCCGTGTCTTCAGTTTGTAGTGGGATCCACTTTCTCCTCCACCCCAAAGTGCTCTATGAAATTGCCACATTCGGCATCCAAGAACCCAGCAGTGAGGTAGGACGTGCTGCAAGTATGGGGCCATTCACAGATGTCTGTGGGAAATGGAATGAAAAGCTAGCAGGGTTTTTCCGCAGGCCCCTCGTAAGTGTGAGGGCCAAGGGTAATTCTTTATTGGTTGGCTCGGTCGACAAATAGCCTAGCTACACAGCCTGGTAGACGATTGGACAGAAGCTTGCCTTTGAGGTGTTATGTAAATGAGAAGAAACGTTCAAAAAGGCATAAAACCATGACACAGGACGCACTTGCATGAGAGAAAGCAGCTCTGACCAGCCACGCTGGTCCATAAGAATCAGAACCCCCTGGGCTGCACCGACAACGGGCTAGTTCATTACAGACCACGTCTGCCCAAGGGGAGTCATGGAGCAAGCATGAGGGTGCCTGTGACTGCTATTAGGTGCCAGCTGGTTCTCACTCATCGCCACCCCACGAACAACAGGAGTCAACACTTCCCAGTCTGATCAAGCCCATTGCTGCAGCTGCTGTGTGCACCGGCTTCATTGAGCGTCTCCCTGGTTTGGGCTGCTCCTCTGCTTTACTGAGCACAGCGTCCTTCTCCGGGGACTGGTCTCTCCTGACAACATGCCCAGTGGCGCATTCTGGCCATGCTTCTTCCAAGACAGATCTGTTTGTGCCTTTGGCAGCCCATGGTACCATCGTTCAGCTGCACCCTTCCTTCTGTGGTCTGCCTTATGTAGTGCCCGCCTGGCACATGCATAGGAGGTGATGGGAACACCACGGCTGGGCTCAGGTGCACCCTCATCCTCACTGTGCCATCTTTTAACCCTTTAACAAGGGGTCTTGCACAGCTGATCTACTCAGTGCATGGCATCATCCAAGTCTTGACTGCTGCCTCCGTGTCTCTTGACGGTGACGCAGCACAAATCCGTTACAGCTTCCATTTGCTGTGCAGTCAATCCTGATGTCACTGGTCCCGATCAGAGTGTGGGATGACACCTTGGAAGTCTGAGCAGGAGATGCCAGAGGTGTTGGATGTAATGACTCACAGGGAAGGTCTGCTTGGTGCACTGGTGGCATGGCTCACGTGAGTGGCCTCCTCTGTGTTGTTGGGCAGGTGAACACTGCTGCCAAGGCCATTTTGATGTACCTGCTGCAGGGCCGCCTAATGATGACAGCGCCCACCTGGAGCAAGTTCATCTCGTCTCTGGGCCCCGTGCTCCCGGTGCTGCAGGTGGGCTCTTCTCACCCCTCTCCGCTCTCCGCCCTCCTCTCTCTTCCACTGCAGGCTTTGTTTGTCGAGTGTGTGTCAGCAGGGCTAGCATGCTGCGTGGGGTGAAGGCTCTCCTGAGCGGACAGGGAGTGGGTGCCTGGCAGGAGCCCTACCCTGCTGTCCTTGTCTGGGATTACATAGCCAGGGGCAGGGCTTTTGCCATTGGCCATGCCAGACAGTGCCATCCTTAAAGCAGGCTTCCCGGCCGAGTAGGCACTGCTCCCTGAGTTGGAGGCCTGGCACTGGACCGGCCACCTGGATTCTAGCAGTACACACACCCGGGGCTCCCAAGTTCCTGGAGTAATGGAATAGAAAGATGATGGCATTTCTCCAGGAGCGGAGCTTTTTGGAGGTCCCTGTGTATGTGACTTCAATGATCCCTTGATGAACAACCTCTGGGAAATAGCCTTTCCGCAGGGGGGCAGGGTATGGGCAAACAGGGTCGCCAACATGGCTGTGGGTGGTGTGGGCAGGGCTGTGTGGGTGCCGTGGGCAGGGGCAGGGCCGAGTGGGTGTCGTGGGCTCTGGGAAGTGCTGCTGCTGCTGTTGGCATCTCAGAACACTCGAAGCAGCCGATGCGCAGAGGTGGTTGTAGTTCCCAAGGTCTGTTCTCTTGTTTCTGAAGTGCATTGTGGTGAAAGACATAGCAGCATTTGTCACTGATACCACTTTGACGTGTGCCGTGCGTGACAGTAGTTGCACTCACAGTGCTGAGCAGTACCCCACCACGACCTTGTACAGTTCACCCCACACACACTCAAGAGGAGCCTGCTGGCACAGAGGGCTCAGTGTTAGACCCTGAACCAGAAGGTTGGTGGTTTGAGCCCACTAGTGTATCCCTGGGAGAGAGGTGTGACTGTTGACTCCTGCAAATAGGAGGGCCCAGAAACCCTGTGGGTCAGTTCTTCCCTGTGCTGTGGGACTGCTGTGAGTCCAGATGGACTGGTCAGTGGTGGAGGGGGCAGGGGTAGGGGTGCGGTGGAGGTGAGGGGTGAAGCAGGAGGGCTCTCTGCTGTGGAGCTTTCTGCAGAACTTCCTGCCGCTGTTCGGCCGTCATTGTGGTTCAAATGCAGTTTCTTTGAGTGCGCTGCCTCGTGAGAAGCATTTGACTTTGTTCTATAGGTTCAGACTCACTGCCCTATCTCCCTTCACAAACCCCATCAGGGCTATGCCGACACCGAGGACCCTCTGGGGAGCTGCGTCCTGCTCCTGAGCCGAGTGGGCCCCGAGGCTGGAGGAGGGGGCCTGCCCCGCCTGCCCTGGCTACGTTCTGTGCTGCGGCTGCTCTTGGTGAAGAAGCCCGCGTGAGTGCCAGCACCAGGCTGGATGGGGTGCATGGGACAGGACTGAGGAGCCTGGTTTTGCTGTCTTGTCTGCATGCACGAGTGTGTGTGTGTGTGTGTGTGTGTGTGTGTGTGTGTGTG